GAATGAATATATATATATATATATATATATATATATATATATCAAAGCAAGTGGCAAATAGACATTTTTCTTTCAAATAAAGAGCATTTGCTTCAATATTTTTAATCAGATGCAACAAATGGCATTCTCAAATTCACGCAAATGTTTTAATGCTTTTAAATAAAAGCTATGAAATATTTCTACATATTATTTATACATATTTGCATTTATTTCATCAACAATAAAGAGTTCACCTTGATATAATTTATATAGTTGTTCCTATTTTTCCAGAGGGACCCAGTGGGAAGTCTTCAAAAACTTCACTGCATCACTTTGGACCTTCGGATCTTAAAATGGTCTGCAAAAAAAGTTGTTTTTTTTAAGTTTCTTTAAAATAAAGGCCACTTGCTTCATTTTTTTCATCAAATGCAATGAAATTAAGACATTTTAAGTGTTTAAAGTGCCCCTATTATGGTAATGAAAGGTTCATATTTTGGTTTTGGGAGTCCCCAACAACAGGTTGACATGCATGCAAGGTCAAAAAACACTTTCATTGTCTTATAATATGCATTTATTTTTTACCATACTTGCTCAACGACTCCCAAACGATTCATTTTTCCAAGCCCCTCCTTTGCGTGACGCTAATCTGTGGTGATTGGTCCGATTGGTCTACTTTTCATTTCATCATGCCTGTAATGCCTGATAAAGCAGCGTTTGTGAGCGCAGTGCTGCTTTGTGTACAGCATTACCGGGGAAACCGCTATTTTACCGCTCCAAAAGCGGTATTATAATTTATAAAATATTTATACATATTTGCATTTATTTCATCATCAAAAAGAGCTCAGATTGATATAATTTATATAGTTCTTGCTATTTTTTCCAGAGGGACCCAGTGAGAAGTCTTGAGACGTGAAAATTAAATGCTTCAAAATAAAATCTAATCTTTAGAAATTCTATCGATCATACATATAAAAGCATTAATTAAAAATGTGCATTTATTTCATTAAAAATAGAGCTCAACTTCATAGAAATTATATAAAGTAGTAGCTTCGTGCTGTTTTTCCAGACAGAATGCAGTTTTACATTTCTTTTCATCTGAGATGATAGTGTGATTTTATAACTCATATTCTTTCAGCTCTGAGCGTTAGATGTTATTGCACATTGTGTTATGAAAGTTTGCGCAATCATTCTGCTCTACTAGTCCTTAAAGGTTCATGTTAGCCTAACTTGTCAATGGTTGACATGAACAGTGAGAAGTCTTGAGACGTGAAAATTAAATACTTCAAAATAAAATCTAATCTTTAGAAATTCTATCGATCATAAATATAAAAGCATTAATTAAAAATGTGCATTTATTTCATTAAAAAGAGCTCAACTTCATAGAAATGATATAAAGTAGTAGCTTCGTGCTGTTTTTCCAGACAGAATGCAGTTTTACATTTCTTTTCATCTGAGATGATAGTGTGATTTTATAACTCATATTCTTTCAGCTCTGAGCGTTAGATGTTATTGCACATTGTGTTATGAAAGTTTGCGCAATCATTCTGCTCTACTAGTCCTTAAAGGTTCATGTTAGCCTAACTTGTCAATGGTTGACATGAATAAAGTATAAAAACATTTGTTCCTTGCCTTTTGTGTAAAGAAACTCCTTTGTGTGCTGAAAGTGTATGCGTGCAGTTCATCAAACATGACATTTTTATTTATTAAAAAGTAATACAAAACCTTTCAGCACGTTTGCATAAAGCACCACAGTGGTTCTCACAGGAGTTTGACAGACTCATTCACGAGGCTCATTAAGCATAGAAACATTAATGAAAGACTTTTCATCCACGTTTCTTTTCCAGACTAGTACTCTGAGCGAGCTTTGTGTCGTAAAAGAGTTCCAAATTTGTACTGAGCATTAAATGTTTTCTGCTCAGGTCAGTTTCGCTTTCCTCATTCATAAAGAAATTATTTTTCAAGTGGGTTCATAATTATTACATTCATTACAACCAAAGCAAGACTTTTAATGAGTACTGGATGCAAAAACTTCACTGCATCATTTTGGAGCTTTTAATCTTTAAATGTACAGTGGATATATAAAGTAGACGAAACTATTTCAATGTCTGAATGTCACTGCATTAACTAACAAATTAACAGCAAGAGACAACTACACATTTCTGTGAAATGTTTTGCTTTAAAAGTGTTATTCTTCAAAATAAAGGTCACTTTGATTTTTTTTTTTCATCTAATGCATTGGCATTGATATTTTAAGTGTGGCTCAAGTGTTTAAATAGTTTCAAATAGAAGCTAATCTTTATACATTCTATTGATCAAAAATATAAAGTAGTAACATTTATAAATATTACAATTTAAAACAAGTGTTTTCAATTTGAATATGTTTTAAAATGTAATTTATTCCTGTGACACAAAGCTGAATTTTCAGCATCATTACCCCAGTCTTCAGTGTCACATGATCCTTCAGAAATCATTCTAAAATGCTGATTTGCTGCTCAAGAAACACTTATTATTATTATCAGTGTTGAAAACAGTTATGGTGCTTCATTTTTTTCCAGGTTTTTATGAAAATGCTCAAATAGAATAGTTTTTTTTTTTAATCCTTTGCAACATTGTTTTACAGTCACTTTTGATCAATTTAATGCATAATAAATATTAATTTCTATTATATATACACAAAACAAAAACAAAACTTACTGACCTCCAAATGTTGAACGGTATAGAGTAAATATAAATATATAGCAATGTGGAGCCAGCAGACAAAACACTTCCTGATGAAGAGAGGAACGATCAAAAGAAACTCAAGTACCTCAGAAAACAGAGCCTGGAAATCAAACCATATATGCCCAATAAAAAACCTCTTTGACAGAAGAAGAAGAAGAAAAGAATGACAACTTCCAGTATCTTACTTGGCATTTGTTGAAGATGTAAAGTGTAAAGGCAGCTTGACTGATACATAAAATGTATGCATTTTGGATGTATTTTTCCATTTTTTAGCGTTTAGTTTTTACACGTTGCTATATTAATTATAATTCAAATACATTTTGTTTTACTTACCACAATTTTGTTGTTGATAATAGTTGAGAGGGGCACTTTGAATACATTTTGAAAAAAGTCAGTCAATCATTTTACAGTGCATATACAGAGACTATGACGTTCAAACACTTTCCAGCAGGAGATCTGTGGAGAAGAGGACAGCACGTACAGTATACATTATGCTCTATTCTGGTCTGGCGTCAAAAAAATGAACAACAGCAAATCATATTGTCAGCATCCAAAATTCCAATGTACAGAAAACAGAAATGTGGATTTAAAAGCCACATAAACGATTTCCAGCCACGAATGCCGGGCTAGAGGATACTTTACTTTTTGTGCCATTTCAAAAAAATACAAAATAAAAAAAGAGCAACACCTTCACAGGCGAGATTATTCAGTCTGTAATCTCCAGCCTGAGGGACGGCAAAGAGCTTTGATCTGCTGCTGTGTCGAGTCTCACCCACCTCCTCCATTTCTGCCCGCTGAGAGAGAACAGATGTCAAGAGTATAATGTCATCCTGGGGCTTCGTAAACTCAGGAGATGACCAGTTATTACCAGGGGTCCAGACGACTCAAGAAGAACATAATTTAAATGAGATCACTGTGCCAAGTTACTCTTCATTCAAGCACAAACACAGTGGACCAAGAAGTGTTCGTCACGTGTTTAATCACCTTTTAGCCTTTTACTAGTTCATTAGTGTGCCTGATGAATATACAAATTAACAATATGTGACCCTGGACCACAAAACCAGTCATAAGGGTCAATTTTTTGAAATTGAGATTTATATATAAGCTGAAAGCTGAATAAATAAGCTTTCCATTGATGTATGGTTTGTTAGGATCGGACAATATTTGGCCGAGATACAACTATTTAAAAATCTGGAATCTGAGGGTGCAAAAAAATCTAAATATTGAGAAAATGGCCTTTAAATTTGTCCAAATCAAGTGCTTAGCAATGCATATTACTAATCAAAAATTAAGTTTTGATATATTTACGGTAGGAAATTTACAAAATATTTTCATGGAACATGATCTTTACTTAATATCCTAATGATTTTTGGCATAAAAGAAAAATCGATAATTTTGACCCATACAATGT